CTTTAGTAGCTGCCAAAAGTCAACTTTTTTTTTTAAAAAAGTAAAAAAGCCATCTCATGTCACGTTAGTGCCTTCTTGTGCCACGTCATCTAATACCTTATGCCACATCACCTACCATGTCACCCCGCCATGTGTGCACCACATCATGCCATGTCACCTGACAATTTCTACCACGTCACGCCACATCGCCACCACGTGCCATATCACATATTCATTGTGAATTGTGAAATATACCCAAGCTAAGATTTGAGCCCTTGACCTCCATATCCCAAATTTTAAGTCCTCCTTTGGTGCCAGTTGAGCTGAAATGCACCTACAATTATTATATGAGAAATTAAATACATATTATTTAACTACATATACATGTATAAAATAATATATTATTAAAAATATATACATATATATTTTATTTTATTTTCATTTATTAATATGTTAAAATAATTTCTATGAGTCTGTGTGTGTATATATATATATTATTTTTTAATAAAATATTATTTTTGTTAGGAAAATGAACTTAAAATGAAATAATTTTTAAATATTGAATTATTTTCTTATAAAAATTTTTACCAATTTTAATTTTTTTATTTTTTAAATAAAAATAATTAAGTATATAATTTATTTATAAGTATGTATTATATTAGTTTACGTTAAATATCTTTTACATTTTTTTCCATATTTTTCTCAAAATTAATAAGTAAATTATTAAACTTTCATCTTCTCCCAAGTTAAATGCTTCTCCTTCTTCTATCAAAAATAAATTTTATCTACAATTTTTCAATTATCTTAAAAATATTTTAATAAAAAATTTATTTTACTCATATAATTTTTGTTAATAGTTATTTTGAACAATTATTCTTAGTAGATGCTAAACACAAAAAACTCCAAGTTAAAAATATAAGTGGATATTTCATAATTAACATAGAAGGAATCTTACCTTGACACAATCTAAATTAGTTTAGACTTTCATTAAAGTCTCTTTAACAAAGTCAATCTAAAGTTAATATAGAACACTTTCCAATAACTTTACAATTTACAATAAACAAACTTTAATAAGTTTATCACTACTGAAAAAATGTAAATTAATGAGGGAATTTAGCAAGAGATTTTCTATTCCTCTCTAAAATATCGAATTAGCAAGAAAATTAGCGAGAGATATTGATTTTGTAGCTTGACTTATTATCAGCAAGGAAAATAGCGAAGAACTATCAATTCCTCTTTAAAATAAGAGAATTAGCACAGAAAATTGTGAGGGACTGTCAATCCCTCTCTAAAACAAGATAATTAGTAAGGAAAATAGTGAGAAACTACTAATCCTTCTCTGAAATAAGAGAATTAGTGAGGAAAATAGTAAGGGACTATCAATCCTTCTTTAAAATAAGACAATTAGTGAGGAAAATAGTGAGGGACTGCCAATACCTTTCTAAAATAAGATAATTAGCAAGAAATTTAGCGAGAAATTCTATCCCTAGCTAATTACTGTAAAAAAATTTAACTTTTAACAATGACTTTTAATTATATGTTTAAATATTTTTATTTAAAAATAAAAATTAAATTTAAAAATTAACTAAAATATTCATAATAAAATTATTTAATTTTAAATATATTCTTTATTTTAAGTTGATTTTCGTTAATAAAATAATATTTTATTAAAAATATAATGTAAAGAATAATTTAAATAAAATATAAATATTTTTAACATATTAATAATTGAAAATAAAATTTAATATGTATATATGTGTGTATTTTTATAATATATTATTTGATATATTTATGTAGTTCAATAATATATATTTAATTTCTCATATAATAACTACACGTGCCTTTCAGTTCAACTAGAAAAGAAGGAGAGTATAAGGTTTGAAAGGTATAAGATCAAGGGTTCAAGTCTTGGGTTTGACATAAACATAATGAATATATAACATGATAAGGAGCAAGTGATATGACACAAGGTGGACAATGATATGTCATAACTACATATGCCTTTCAGTTCAATTGGCAAAAGAGAGCATAAGACTTGAAATGTATGAGATCAAGGGTTCAAGTCTTGAGTTTGACATAAACATAATGAATACATAACATGGTAAGGAGCAAGTGATATGGCACAAGGTGGATAATGATATGTTATGAGTTATCGCACATGTGGCAGGTAATGGGGTACAAGATGGTAGGTGACGTGGCGATTGATGAGGCATGAGATTGTTGGGATATGTCACAAGTTGACGCGCTCATGACAGGTGATGTGATATTACTATTTTTAAATAAAGACATATTTAGTGAGAAAATAGTGAAGGATTAGTCCCTCACTAAATTATCAAATTTTGAATAACATTTGCGAGGGATTTAGTGAGGAATTCAATCCCTTGCTAAAATTAGTAGGGGATTAAATCCCTCACTAATTAGCGAGGGAAATACAATCCCTCGCTAAATTTAGCGAGCCTTTTTATAGCTACGAATTTAACAAGGGACAAAATCCTCGTTAAAACCCAATTTAGTTAGAGAAAATGGCATTTCCCTCGCTAAATTCAATTTTTCTAGTAGTGTATACATAATTTCATTTATAATTCAAAAAACCATCAAGTATTCTCGACCTATTTTATTTATTACTTATTTTAGATAACCATCAAATATGGAACATCTTATTTAGATAATCTTGTGATAGTGAAAAGTAAAGCTCAACAAATAAAGCAGACACCATTTATATACCAAGTCGAGTGTCAAGTGTTTAATTTGTTAAGTAATCTGCAATGCCATTTGCATCTTACAACATTTATATAACTTTAACATTCTAATGTTTATATATAACTTTAACATTTTAATGTTATTTATTTCTCATTTTATATATAAATACTTTTAGTGGCAACAAATTTTGCCACTAAAAGTATTTATAAAATATTTTTTAGTTTTTTAATTATTTTTTATAAAAATATTTTTGGTGGTGACAAACTATAACTATAAAAAGTAATTACATAAATTATTTTAAATTTTTTAATTATTTTTTATGAAAATACTTTTGGCGACGACTATTTGTCGCCATTAAAAATAATAACATAAATTATTTTTATTTTTAATTATTTTTTATGAAAATACTTTTGATAATAATGTAAATTATTTTTAATTTTTTAATTATTTTTTTATGAAAATATTTTTGGCACTGACATGTTTTCACTAATTACATAAATTATTTTAAATTTTTTAATTATTTTTTTATAAAAATATTTTTGATGGCGAAGGTTTGTCACCACTAAACATAATTATAAAATTATTTTTAATTTTTTAGTTATTTTTTATAAAAATACTTTTAAACACAAACCCTAAAAAAATATTTTTTGACCAACAACATGGACCCTCAATTTAAAGTCTTTCCTTTTTGCCCGTAAAATTTATAATCTGACAGCGTAAGAGATTAAGAAAAAGTAAAATACAAAACTATATCTTGCACTTTGCCGATGCATTTTGTTTTTAGGCATTAATTTTGTTTTATCATTCCCAATTCTTTTAATTTGATCTGTATTTAATAGTAGCTCTTAATTTGAAAGTGCACATAAGGACCATGATATGATATTGATGATGTTAATTTTATTGACATATACTCCATTTGTTAATTCTGTTAACTCCTTTGTTAATGTGTACTTAATCTGTTGCTCCCCTCAATTGCATTCTATTTAATCTAAATATACAATGAAGCATATTTTTGGTTACCTTACCTTTTATTTTTAATTATACCTAGCCAATTTATTTATATGCCATGTTTTTATTGTGTTAGCAAAAGAGTTATCGAGTTAATGTGGAATTAACTTCGTCAATGCCAGTTCATAACTGTTATATGTAATTTTAAAATTATAGAGATTAAAAGTTTTAAACGGAAATAATAAAATAAATATTGGAACTAAAAACGAAAAACAGTCAAAAATACATAGATCTACAATTGTATTTCTTTTTATAAATAATAACCTTTGAAGTTTGGTCCTTGTAAATTAAAAGAAAAGATTGTTTTAGGGATATTTTTTTTAGTATGTCACATTTTATTATATTATTCATTCATGTATTATTTTCGTTCTGTTGAATATCAAAGTATAGAATTTTTTTTCTATCTAATGCTAAAGTAGAAACATTTTTTAGGAATGAGATTTGTGAATAATGCAGTTTATTATTCACTTTTTTTATATCGATAATAGATATTTCAATAAAAATTAATTAACAATAAACTGAGTGTTTTAAGGTATAGTAATTATGTGATTTAAGCAAAATTTAACAAATGTAAAAAAATAATAGTAATAATTAACTTAATAAGAGAGTGCTATCCAAATGTGAGTAGTATATACCACACGTTGTGTTTTATGGGCATTGCTGTGGATCATGACACCGACCAAGATTACTGTCATTGAAGTTAATTATTACTATCATTATACTTACAGTTGTTTTAACTTTCTTTAATTAATTTTTACAGCATGAAGATGATGATGATTGCAAAACATCTTTAAAGATGTCAACTTATAATTTACTATCAAATTAAAGGCACGTAACACATGCTCATTATTATCAAATGCAGTGTCTTATTATATAATAACTTTAAAAATATTATTGACGAGGCCCACCAACAAAACAATGATCTTTTCTGCCGCCTTTGATTTTTTTTTTTTTATCAATGAGGGAAAAACAAATTAGTATGATGCTTTTAATAGTGGTTTTCAAAATCCTGTTTTACAAGTTAGGTATTGAAAGTTAAGAATACTAGTGGATGAAAATGTGTGCAGTAAGTGGTATAAATCTAGTTCCAGTGAACACGTCTGGGGAAGTCTTGAACTTATTAAATTATAAAATAATAGCATGGTTCAACTCTGCCACAACGACTTTGACTCACACGAACATGACCGGAGTGATTAATAAAGAGCCCAGAAACAAGCCTTGCATGATTATAAGTTAGCCCAGAAACAAACCATACTTGCAAGGTGATAAGACTGTCGTTTGGGGATCACTTTATGTTAAGAAAGTAAGTAGAGATGGGTGTGATAGTGGCTTTGCTATTATGCTACACTTCTATTACTAGTCAATCTGCTACCTTGATGAAAGCAGAGGAGAAACGTGCTCTGCTTCAAACCAAGTGGTGGAATACTGCCAGCTTTACTCCTTACAACGTCTCAAACCCATGTGACTGGTACGAGATATATTGCAATGATTTTGGAAGCGTTACTCAGATGTCTCCACTCCAAATCACTTCACAGCGCTCTCGACTAGAAGATCTCAACTTGACAGCATTTTCTTATTTAGAAGAACTTGAGCATTCAAGAATGGGTTTGACAGGTACCATACCAATTCAAATTGAAGCTCTTCAACATCTTAGACATTTGGGCTTGTCTCATAACAACCTTACTGGTGAGTTATCTCATATTCATACCAAAGTCGTTAAATTAGAAATATTGTATTTTTCTAGATATAAGCAAGAATCTTCTGCAACTTAATAAAATGTGATTTGATAGGTAACATTCAAATTCAAATAGGAGCTCTTCAAAATCTTACTCATTTGGACTTGTCTAATAATCGCCTTACTGGTGAGTTATTTTCTACTCTTCCAAACTTATTCAATTACAAAGTTTGTATTTTCCTAGAAACAACCCAGAACCTGTACAACTTAAAAAAATGTGATTTAATAAGTACTATTTCAATTCAAATAAAAGCTCTTCCACATCTTAACTATCGAAACTTGTGTTATAACAATATTACAAGTAACTTGTCTTAAATGTGGAAGTGTTGTTGAGATGTATCAACCTAGAATCACATCACAACACCCTTGGCTAGCAGATCACAACCTGGCTGCATTTCCCGACCTACAAAATCTGATACTTTCTAGAATTTATAAAATTTTAAAAATGGTATAGTACTGAAGAAATTTTAAAAAAGATTAAAATATTTAGCACATGTTTTGTAAGGGGAAAAAACTTATAATATCGATCAAAGGCTTCTTTTTTGTGTTTTTTGTATAATGTTGTAATTCCTCTTGCTCTTACTTTTAATTCCAAAGATTGAGTTTCATTCAAATTAACAACAGGACCATTTTCAAACTATATGATATAAACAAATAAAATATAATTATAAAAAACTTGACACCATAGAAACTAACCACAATAATAAAGGGAAAAAAAAACATAAACAAGCTTTTGGTTGTAATAGGAGAAACTCCTTCTGCCAAAGTTCCAAAGTGGTGGTAAACTCTTTCATTCAAATAGTTATAATAGTGGCCAACCTTCCTACACCCATTTGATCACATGGTATTATAGCATATCCCTCTAAAAATATAGATTTAGATTCAATAACTATACTTAGTATGGTCATTGAGTGTCTATACCATTTGAGCCATTGAAATCCATATCAATAGTTCAGATAAACTCACTCATTCATTAATTTTAAATGAAGTATGAATTTAAAACTATTAATTTAAATTTTAATGATTTAGATGGCACAAACATTTAGTACAATCATCAAATTTAAATTTAAATCTAACTTGGATATTTTTGTTTCGGCTAGTGAGGTTAAGGAGTAGGAAGTATTTTGGCTTAGGAGGACTTGGATGGCTTGATTGAGAGATTTTTCGGAGCTGTCACTGCCGTGTGATTGGTGGGCACATTTTGTGATCCTCAGTGCTATTAGTTCAAAGACAGAAAACTTGAACTTAGACTCTTAATTTAAAGTCTCTCCCTTTCGCTAGTAAAATTTATAATCTGTCAGTGTAAGAGATCATAAAACAGAAAAATATAAAAGTACCTCTTGTACTTTTATTCTGCATTTTGTTTTAGTATCTAAGTTTATTTTATTATTCTCATTCTTTTAGTTTGATCCATATTTAATAATAACTCTTATTTTAAAAATGCATAAAAGGACCATAATATTATATTGATGAAGTTAATTTTATTGACATGTATTTAATTCTGTTAACGCCTTTGTTAACATATACTTAATCTCTTGCTTTCGTCCATTACATTGTATTTAATCTAAATGTACAATGAAGCTTTTTTTGGCCCCCTTGCCTTTTATTTTTAATTATACCTAGTCAATTTATTTCTATGCTGACATATTTTTATCGTTTTAGCGAAGGAGTTATAGAGTTATAGTGAAATTAACCCCATCAATGCTAGCTCATAACAGTTATATGCATTTTTAAAATCATAGAGAGATCAAAAGTTTTAGATGGATCAAACTAAAGGGATTAAAAATAATAAAATACTTATAGGGACTAAAAATCCATATGTGGGTCATTGTATATATCACTCATTTGTTATAAACTCATGATTATTATCAATTTACGTTATGTTTATGGGCATTGCTGGGGAGCAAGACACCTGCGAAGATCACTGACATTGAAGTTAATTATTATTATGGTCACACTTGTTTTACTTTTTATAATTAATTTTTACATAGCATTAAGAGAAGAAGATGATGATGATGACAAAACGTCTTTAAAGATGTCAACTAAAAAGTTACTTGGATAAAAAAGGTCACTATATCATATAAAAAAATTAAAACAAATGTAAATTTATATGATATTTGGTTATTTGCCATCAAATTAAAGGCACAGAACACACAAGCTGACCATTGTCAAACGCAGTGTCTTATTGTATAATAACTTCAAAGAAATTATTATTGACGAGGCCCATCAACAAAAGGATGATCTTTTCCCTTCTTTGATTTTAAAAAACAAGGAGGGAAAAAACAAATTAGTATGATTCTTTTAATAGTTGTTTTAAAAATCAGATTTAACAAGTTAGGTATTGACAGTTAACGCTAATGGTCAAAGAAAGTGTCTGTATAGCACAAATCCAATTCCAGGAACATGTCTGGCAAAGTCTTTAATAGGGCATAGACCATAATAGCACACTTCAACTCTGCCCATCTCTCACGTTATTTCCTATTAGACTTGCTCCAACGACTTTGACGCTCATGAACCAGAGTGCTTAATAAAGAGCCCAGAAACAAGCCTTGCAAGGTTCTAAGTTGTTCAATTTGGGGATCACTTAATGTTGAGAAAGTAAGTAAAGATGGGTGTGATAGTGGCTTAACATGTCTGGACAAGTCTCTAGTAGGACAAAGACCATAACAGTGAAAATGATATACCTTTAAATCCTGGTTTGAATCTTCAGAGGCATGAAATTATATTTAATGCCTGAATAAATTTTTGGTCATTAATCTATGGCCATGACTTCATTAACAAGAAATTACTACCTCATCTTTCACAGTATACTAATAACTACTTTTAGTTTATTCAAAATATTTTAATTAAACAGTGTTTTTATTATTAGAAATGTTTTAATCCTTCAAATTATGTCCTCAGTGCAGACTTTTGGTGGTTTTTAAGCAGTTTTTAAAGACTTTTATGGAATATAGTAAACATTTTGGTCAACGTCTAAATACGTGTGTCAAATTTTTTGATCAACTAAATATCTGTGTCAAATTAAATGACTTAATTTTTTGAATTAGAAACAGGGCAATGCCCAACTTATTTTATTCAACTAGAAATTAGAAACTTTAAATTTTATAATTTAAAAACAATTGAGAAATAATTTGAAAAGTTGATGGTTGGTGATGCACATGTTCGTCAACGTCAAAGTCATTGGAGCCAGTCTAAAGGTAAATAGAGGACATAATCATTGAGAAAGAACTTATTGAGGTATTAATGAAAATTACCCAGCTCTCAATGAAGTGTCACTATTATAAACTAGTACTATTCCATTCTACTGAAGTCTGAACATGTCTGGACAAGTCTGTCGTAGGACATGGACCCTAATGATAGACCTTTGAATCTTTAGAGGCAGGTAATTTATTAATGCCTCAACAATTTCGTGGTCATTAACCTATGGTCGTGACTTGCGATGAAATTACCCCATTCTTGGTCATCTATGCTCCAACTGTCCACCGACTTTGATGCTGACCGGAGTGATTACAAAAAGAGCGCACCGAGTAAACAATACTTGCAAGGTGACAATTAAGCTGTTGTTATTTGGGAATCACTTTGTGTTGAGAAAGTAAGTAGAGATCAGTGTGACGTTGGCTTTACTATTATGCTATGCTTCTATTACTAGTGCGTCTGCTATCTCGATGTAAGTGGAGGAGAAACTCGCTCTCAAGTAGCAAATCTCAACTTGACTGTATTTTCTTATCTAAAAAATCTTGTCCTTTTTGAAATGAGTTTGACAAGTACCATAACAATTCAAACTAGAGCTCTTCAACATAGTTATTTAAGGTTGTATTATAACAATCTCATTGGTGAGTTATCTCCTACACATACCAAACACATTAAATTAAAAATGTTGTATTTTTCAAGAAACAAGAAAGAATCTTCTGCAACTTAATAACATGTTATTTAATAGGTACAATTCCAACTCAAATAGAAACTCTTCAAAATCTAGCTTATTTGGACTTGTCAAATAACCACCTTACTGGTGAGTTATCTCCTAAGCTTACCAAATGCATTAATTAGAAAGATATTTTTTTATAAACAACCTAGAATCTCTACAACTTGATAAAATGTGAATTAACAAGTATAATTCTATCTCAAATAGGAGCTCTTCAATATCTTGACTATTTGGACTTTTCTCATAACAACCTCATTGGTAAGTTATCTCTTACTAATACCAAACACATTGAATTAGAAATATTATATTTTTTTAGAAACAAGCAAGATTCTTCTGCAATTTAATCAAATGTGATTTGATAGGTATCATTCCAACTCAAATAGGAGCTTTTCAAAATCTAACTGATTTGGACTTTTCTAATAAGCACCTTACTGTGAGTTATCTCCTAATCTTACTAAACACATTAATTAGAAAGATATTTTTCCAAAAACAACCTAAAATTTCTACAACTTGATAAAATGTGAATTAATAGGTACAATTCCATCTCAATTAGGAGCTCTTCAATATCTCCACTATTTGGATTTTTCTCATAACAACCTCACTAGTGAGATGTCTCCTACTCATACCAAACACATTGAATTAAAAATGTTGTATTTTTCAAGAAACAAGCAAGAATCTTCTGCAACTTAATAACATGTTATTTGATAGGTATCATCTCAACTCAAATAGAAGCTCTTCAAAGTCTAGTTTACTTGGACTTGTCTAATAACCATCTTACTGGTGAGTTATCTCCTAATCTTACCAAACACATTAATTAGAAAGATATTTTTCTAGAAACAACCTAGAATCTCTATAACGTGATAAAATATGAATTAACAGGTACAATTTCATCTCAAATAGGAGCTATTCAATATCTCAATCATTTGGACTTTTCTTATAACAACTTCACTGGTGAGTTATCTCCTACTCATACAAACACATTGAATTAGAAAAGTTGTATTTTTCAAGAAACAGGCAAGAATCTTCTACAACTTAATAACATGTTATTTGATAGATACCATTCCAACTCAAATAGAAGCTCTTCAAAATCTAGCTTATTTGGACTTGTCTAATAACATTAATAGGTACAATTCCATCTCAATTAGGAGCTCTTCAATATCTCCATCATTTGGATTTTTCTCATAACAACCTCACTAGTGAGATATCTCCTACTCATACCAAACACATTGAATTAGAAATGTTGTATTTTTCAAGAAACAAGCAAAAATCTTCTGCAACTTAATAACATGTTATTTAATAGGTACAATTCCAACTCAAATAGAAACTCTTCAAAATCTAGCTTATTTGGACTTGTCAAATAACCACCTTACTGGTGAGTTATCTCCTAAGCTTACCAAATGCATTAATTAGAAAGATATTTTTCTAGAAACAACTTAGAATCTCTACAACTTGATAAAATGTGAATTAACAGGTACAATTCCATCTCAAATAGGAGCTCTTCAATATCTCAATCATTTGGACTTTTCTCATAACAACCTCACTGGTGAGTTATCTCCTACTCATACCAAATACATTGAATTAGAAAGGTTGTATTTTTCAAGAAACAAGCAAGAATCTTCAGCAACATAATTAAATAATAGAAATAATTAACATAATAAGAGAGTGCTATCCATATGTGCACATCACACACGTTATGTTTATGGGCATTGTTGGGGAGCATGACACCGACCAAGATCAATGACATTGAAATTAATTATTATTATTATTATTATTATAGTCACAGTTGTTTTACTGTTTTTAATGAATTTTTACAGCATGATGATGACGAAGAAACATCTTTAAATTAAAGACGTCAACTAAAAGGTTACCTGGACAAAAAAGTAACTATATCATATAGAAAAAGTAAAACAAAATGTAAACTTATAATTTGCTATCAAATCAAAGGCACAGAAAACATGCTCATTCTTGTCAAATGCAGTGTCTTATTATATAATAACGTTAAAGATATTATTATTGACGAAGCCCATTAGCAAAACAATGATCTTTTCCCATATTTGATTTTTAAAAACAATGAGGGAAAGACTAATATAGTGTCATGCTTTTAATAATTGTTTTCAAAATCCTGTTTTACAAGTATTGAAGTTAACGCTAAGGTCAATGAAAGTGTGTGTAGTATAATTCCAGTTCCAGTAAACACGTTTGGAGAAGTCTTTAAAAGGACATAGGCCAACACAACAGTAACTTAATTCAACTCTGCCCATCTCTCACGTTATTTCCCATTGGACTTGCTCCAACGACTTTGACTCTCACGAACATGGCCAGAGTGATTAATAAAGAGCGCAGTTCATAAGCAATACTTGCAAGGTGATTAGGTATTGTCATTTGGGGATCACTTAGTCTTGTGTTGAGAAAGTAAGTAAAGATGGGTGTGATAGTGGCATTACTATTATGCTACGCTTCTATTACTAATGCATCTGCTACCTTGATGAAAGCAGAGGAGAAACTTGCTCTGCTTCAAACCAAGTGGTGGATTATTGCTAGTACTACTCCCTACAACATCTTAGACCCTTGTGATTGGGAAGAGATATCTTGCAACAAGTTTGGAAGTGTTACTTCGACATCTCCACCCGAAATCAATTCACAACACCCTTGACTAGCAGATCTCAACTTGATAACATTTTCTTATCTAGAAAAACTTAAGCTTTCCGGAATGGGTTTGACAAGTAGCGCATCAATTCAAATTGGAGCTCTTCAACATCTTTATTATTTGAACTTGTCTCATAATAACCTTAATGATGAGTTACCTTCTACTCATATCATACTCATTGAATTAGAAATGTTACATTTTTTTAGAAACAACATAAAACCTCTGCAATTTAATAAAATGTGAATTAACAAGTACAATTCCATCTCAAATAGGAGCTCTTTATAATCTCTACCATTTGGACTTTTCTTATAACAGCCTCACTGGTGAGTTATTTACTATTCATACCAAACTAATAAAATTATAAAGATTGTATTTGACGACAAATAAAATGGAACATTCATGACAACTCAATTCAATGAGTTTGACAGGTAGCATTCCAACTCAAGTGGAAGCTCTTGGCAATCTCTACGATCTACACTTGTCTTTTACCAATATTACAAGTGAGTTATTATCCATGCTTGCTTGTAAAACTAAAAAAAAAAGGATTATTAAAATATTTAGCATAATTTTAATATGAAAAAAACTTATAATATTGATCAAAGTCTTGTTACTTTAAATTTTAATTTCAAAATTTAAGTTTCCTTCGAGTAAAGAATAGTCATTCTCAAACTTTATGATGTGAACAAATGAAATATAATTATTAAAAACTTGACGCCTTATAAAATAACCATAATAACAAAGAAAAAACATAAAAAAGTTGTTCGTTGTAATAGGAGAAACTCCTTCAGCGAAAGTTTCGAAGTGATGAAAAGCTTTTGTCATTTAAATAGCTCTAATAGTGGCTAACCTTCCAACACTTACCGTTTCATCATTTCAATTAACTACATATCCTTGTTCACCAAATAATACTATTGCCGCAGCAAATGAGAAATATGCATTATTTCAGAGCAAATGGTGGAACATCAGTGATAGTGGCTCCAACTACCCTTGTGATTGGGATGGCATATATTGCGATCTCTTCGGAAGAGTTATTAAGATTAACAAACCAAGAATCCATTCACAGCAATCTCGGAGGCTAACAGATCTCAACTTCACTGCATTTCAACATCTAGAATATTTGAATCTTAGTGGAATGGGGCTCACAGGTACTTCTCCATCTCAGTCTTCATTTATCTCATGAATTTGGACTTGCACGTCCTACAATAATCTCACTTACCATATATTTGCTCAATTTGAACGGAAATGATCTAGCTGGTTGAAACCATTCATTCAGCTTTGGGTTTTAACTATGATAGTAGTTCTCAAAATCTTATATTTGTGCACAAATATATTCATTGCAGGTTATATCCCTTCTTCAATTTTTAAATTCTCTTCAAATTTAGAAGAGTTTAATGTTTCTCAAAATCAAATAAGTGGTAGCATACAAAAAGAGCTTGGATTAAATTCTCTTTCTCGTCTAAATATCTCCCACAATAAACTAAGTGGAAACGTGCCTTACCCGTTTCTATTTTTTGGGTGGTTTTAGTCACAATAAAATCAATGGAAAATTACCATCCGACATATGCAGTTTCCCATCAAAATGTAGCATTGATTTGAGCTACAATAATATCTCTGGTATTATACCAAGAGAACTTGGTAAGTTGAGTTACACCAACTTATCATACAATACTTTGAGTGGCAATGTTCCCAAAGAAATTTATATCATACCTTATCATAAAGACAGAAGACACTTAAATATTGACAAAGATCGTTAATAACATTATGATCTCTTTATTCTTTGATTTTTCAACACAATAAGACAAAAAACGTATCTATTACTGTCATTTTTAAAATCCTATTTCACAGATTAAACAAGCGAAAGGCTAAAAATAAATTTGATGATTTTCTTCGGAGAAGAATCACGTCCTTGAGAAACTAGTTACCATATTCTTCATCTTTTGATATATTTTTCCCTCAACTTTTTTCTTCCTTCATTTGAAGGCTTTCATCATTTCGATGTCCAATTCTGTTGGAAGTCATTGCCTTGTCTTTAGGGCAAGTGTTTGATTATAAGATCCTTGTTACTTCATTGAAGTTTTCGGATAGCATGCTGTGACATTTTAAATCTATACATTAAGCAAAACTTTAGTAAATGATTGAGATGATTTCATTGTTTCTAATATTAATTGGACCTCTTAACTTATCATGTGAATTTTAAGAGCCAATAAAAATACGACAAAATAACCATTTTCTCAAGCTTATCACCTTTGCAACTTGTGCATATGATGCCGTCTCCCACGTCGAAGATAAGAATGACTATTATATAGGAGTCAGTCTTCCTCGTTTATCTAGCGACAAAGATGGGGCATAGAGGAACCGTAAATTTGTTTTGGCATTTTATGGGGTATTATGTATGGCCGTGATGACTTGCGAAGAAATTATGTTAGTACTACCCCATCTTTCATGTTATTAAAATTGTATGAAAGCTATTAAAATGACAGAAATAAAATTAAAAAAATCAATAAATATTCTAACTAGATATTTTACACATAAAAATATTTTTCATTTTTAGAAGTTAGTTTTACATGCTCTGTTTCAAATTATAAATAACTTTGAAGGTATTTTGTTATTCAAAAATACAAGATAATTTGAAAAAAATAAGAATTTATTAATGATAATTTTTCAATATTACATTTCAAGTAGTTAAAGAATTGAAATGATTAAATGTGTAGATTCAAAATTATATTTAAATGAAAGGCATTTTTGAATGTTTACATTTTTATTTTGAAAAAATAAATTTGCAAAGTATTATCATTAAACTTTATTGATATGTATAATCTAGGCTAGCCTATTTTAAAAAAAAAAAATTTCCAGGTCCAGTTGCCACTAGCTCTGCCATATTTTACGAGTTTCTAAATTCAAATTGAACGCCCCAATATCCCATATCAATTCAGTCTCCCTGGATCTATGTGGAGACGCGGTTGCCTCATTCATTTAGGGATCACTTAGTGCTAAGAAAGTAATTATGGGATCATGGGAGTCATAGTGGCACTATTGTTATGCTATGCTGCTATTATTGGTGAATCTGCTTCCATGGTAGCAGAACGTGCTCTGCGTCAGACCAACTGGTGGTATATCACGGACATGTCAAACCCTTGTGAGTGGGATCAGTTTTCTTGCAATGAGCTTGGAAGCGTTCTTGAGATATGGAACCAATAATGATTTCACTCCACACCGTAGTACCTTTGGCTAGCATGTCTCAACCTGACTGCATCTCCCCATCTAGAATATCAATTGCTTTCTGAAATTGGTTTGATAGGGTACCATTCCAATTCAAATAGAACTCTTCAAAATCTTATTCGATCAGATTTATTATATAATAATTTGGCTGGTAAGTTACCTATTATTCTTACAAAATTCATGAATTAAAAAAGTTGTATTGGCCTAGAAACAACATAAAACCAACTAAACTTTATATATTGTGATTCAATAGATATTATTCCATTTCAAATAGGAGCTCTTCAAAATCTCAAATATTTAGACTTCTCTTATAAAAATCTTAGTGGTGAGTTATCTATTACTCTTATAAAACTCATTGGATTAGAAAGATTGTATTGGTGCAGAAACAACTTAGAATTTAAAACTTAATAGAATATGATTTTATAGGTACCATTCCATTTCAAATAGGGGCTCTTCAAAATCTCATCCATTTGAACTTGTCTCGTAACAACTTTACAGGTGAATTACCTAGTAACCTTACTTAATTTGCATTTGATCATGAATAACTTGCAACATTTCCAACTCAAAGCAATGGGTTTGACAAGTACCGTTCCAATTCAGTTAGAAGCTCTACAACATCTTAATTATCTAGACTTGTCTAATAACAATATTACATGTGAATTACTTTCCATCCTTGTCAAACTGTAAAATTGAAAAAAAAGAGAGAGAATATATTGAATACATGTTTTAAAGGATTAAAATAGTTAACATACTTTTAGTTAAAAAACAAAGCTTATAAAATCAATCAAAGGCTTTATTTTCTATTTTATAATGCGTAATTCCCCTCGTCCTTACTTATAATTTCAAAGTTTGAATTTCATTCAAATAAAAAAAAAAAAAGCTATGTCAAATTTGAGCTATTCATTATCTCATGCCTTTCAATTTGCATGTCTTACAATAATCTCACTTACCATCCCCCTTCCTACCATATATAGAATTGCTCAATTTGAATAGAAACAATCTAGTTGGAGCCATTCCTTCAGCTTCGGATTTTATGTCAAATCTCAAGTGTCAAAATCTTATATTTATGCACAAATTTATTCACTATGCAGGTTATATTCCTTCTTCAATTTTCAATCTGACAAACTTAGAAGAGTTTGATATTTCTCAAAATCAAATAATTGGTGGCATACCAAAAGTGTTTGGAAATTTGCATTCTCTCACTCGTCTTAATCTCTCCCATAATAAGCTAACTGGAAAGGTTCCTTACCTTAAGAACCATTTCTATTTTCACATTGATTTGAGTCACAACAAAATTAATGGAGAATTACCATCAGACATAAGCACTGTCCCATCAAAATGTTGGATTGATTTGAGCTACAATAATATCCATGGTATTATACCAAGAGAACTTGGTATGTTGGAACACATCAACTTATCATACAATATTTTGAGTGGATATGTTCCAAGAGAAGTTTATAGCTCTCTTCCTCCAGATATTTTCATTGGCAATAAAGGATTACTTGGTTTAGAAAATATCCATGATTCTTCCAAAGGCCGTCTAAAGATCATTATTCCTCTGACAGTATTTATTTCCATCATATTATTTGTGGGTTTGGTCATCATTGTATCATTAAAAAAGAATAGGAAATCCAAGATTGAGAGGAGAGAAACAAAAAAAGGAGATTTGTTTTCCATATGGAATTTTGATGGTAAAATTGCATATGAAGATATTATTGAAGCAACAAAGGACTTTGACATTAGATATTGCATTGGAACCTATGCCTATGGAACTGTTTATAGGACAGAACTTCCAAGTGGAAAAATTGTAGCTGTGAAAAAACTTCATAGGAGAGAATCTGAAAACCTATCTTTTTCAAAGAGTTTTCATAATGAAGTGAAAATGCTAACTGAAATTCGACATCGTAATATTGTAAAGCTTCATGGCTTTTGTTTGCATAGTCAATGCATGTTTCTCATCTATGAATACATGGAAAGAGGAAGCCTTTTGTATGTTTTGAATCATGATGATGAAGCTAAAGAGTTAGATTGGAGCAAGAGAGTGAATGCCATAAAAGGGATAGCAAATGCCTTGTTCTATATGCATCATGATTGTACTCCCCAAATTATCCATCGAGACATAACAAGTAGTAATGTATTGTTCAACTCAAAGATGGAGGCTTTTATATCTGACTTTGGCACAGCAAGAATCATTGATCAATTCATCAAATCAAACTCTTTTAGTTGGTACTTATGGTTATATTGCTCCAGGTTAGCTTTACTTATTCTACGACTTCTCTTATTATGCTGTGTTTTATTTCCAAAATTACTTACCTTGGGAAGGAATATAATACACAATTTCTTTAATTTTAATCCATTGTAGAGCTTGCATACACCTTAGTTGTGACCAACAAATGTGATGTGTATAGTTTTGGAGTGGTGACATTGGAAACAATCATGGGTAAACATCCTGGAGATTTAATATCATCTATGTCAAAGACTTGCACTGAAAGCATTTTGTTAAAAGATGTAGTGGACACGCGTCTCCCACTGCCATCAAGACAAGATGCAAGAGAAGTGATTCTTTTAGTCACAACAACAATAGCATGCTTGAATCCATCTCCCAAATCTCGACCAGCAATGCAAGAATTGACTCAAAGGCTATTATTGTGCAAGCTGCAGCCATTAGCTATTCCTTTCGATGAAATCTCAATCCAACATTTAGTGAATCAAGATATAGAAATAATCTAGTCTGGTGAAATGCTAGGGTATTTGGCTCTCTATTTGCTTGGTATCTTCAATTAAACTTTCAAGGACTAGCCACAGAGTCTAGAATTGAAGTATGCCATATGTTTAATTTCTTGTAGTTGATATTTCTCTATAAACCAAAATCTCAACCGTTTTGAGGTTTCGCTAAACCACCCCTCATGTATATATCCACATCCTCAAAAAAAAAAAACTTATGTGCAATGGTTGTGTGTA